GTTTCTTGATGGAGCTTGGGTTGTAGTGGAGGATGCTAGCGGGCAAAGTGGTGGATGATGGAAGCTTGGGTAGGTCTTGGCGTGGGGAGGAGGAGAACTAGAATTGAAGAAGAAAAATAAGATAAAATAAACCACGAGTCGAGGACGCTTCCAACGACTGGCGGGTAGTGCTTTTGCCCTCACCTTGGGCTCTCCATAGAACTCACACAGAGATCTAGGAGGAAAGAACTCACTAAGAGATCTTCAAGAGGGAACTCACAAAGAGAACACAAGAACCAAATTTTCATTCAATAATTCATCATCCTCAATACAAGAAAGCTAGCCTATAAATAGGCCTCATGAAACGAAAAATAAAAAAGACTAAAATGCCCTTCGGGCTACAACACTACATGACCACCCATAAGGGTATAAATGGAAAAACAACAATATAAAATAAACTAGTACAAAAAAATATAAATAAATAACTAAAAAATCGTAGCCGTTGATCTCCGATGTCCTCATCAATAACACACTTCCCAGGTCACAAAAAAGATACTAAGACAATCTTGAAATAACAAAAAAACAATAATTTTATAATATAAAATAACACTTACAAACTTTTAAAACATAAACTCCTAAAACTGCATTTACATCGCATGAGAAGAAAGATATAGGTAGAGTCGAACTTGCAGAGAGAAGAAGGAGATAAGAAACCGAGACGACGGAGAGGAGAAGCTCGCAAGCTTTCCTAGAGGAAAATGAAGAGAAGTGGAACAAGCTCTCAAACTTTTCCAAGAAAGAAGAAAAATCCTCCGATTTTTTGCTCCAAAAATTGCATCATAACATCTACAGAATTTCAAAGCTTGAACAATCGCATAAAATTTCAAGTCATAAATAGAATATTTACATCGAGCATCATTCAACTTTTCACTAAGTAAGCAATAGGCTTTTCTTCCTCCCTAAGCACAGCATCAATACCAACATGTGAAGCATCACAATCAACTTCAAAAACTTTTTCAAAATTTGGCAAGCTAAAGATGGGAGCTTGACTCATTTTGCTTTAATCATTTGAAAAGTTTATTCAGCTTGAGGTGTCCACCTAAAGATTCTCTTTTTCAAACAATCAGTGATATGGGCAATCAGAGAACTAAAGTTTTTAATAAATATTTGATAAAAAAAAAAAGCTAAGCCATGAAACCCTCTCACCTCGCTTATATTTTTAGGAGTAGGTCAGTTTTGAATTGCCTCAATTTTCATAGGATCAACCTTTATTCCCTTCGCAGACACAATGTATCCCAAAAAAGTTAAACTTGAAGTCATGAAAGAACATTTTTTAAGATTAATATGCAACTTTTGCTCTCTTAGTGTTTGCATAATTTGTTTCACATGATTAATATGCTCATAAGGGTGAATTCTATAAATCAGAATATCATCGAAATACACCATAACAAACTTTCCAATAAAATGTCTTAAAACATGATTCATTGTTCTCATAAATGTGCTATGAGCATTAGAAAGCCCAAAAGGCATAACAAGTCATTCGTACAATCCTTCTTTGGTTTTAAAAGCAATTTTCCATTCATCTTCTAGTCTTATCCTAATCTGATGATACCCACTTCTCAAGTCAATTTTGGAAAAGATTTTGGCACCACTTAACATGTCCAACATGTCATCCAGCCTAGGAATTGAAAATCTATATTTGATGGTGATTTTATTTATAGCCAGACTATCCACACATATCCTTCATGTTCCATCTTTTTTAGGAGTTAGTAAAGCTGGCAAACCACAGGGACTTAAGCTTTCCTTAATCAAACCCTTCTCTAACAATTCAATCAGTTGCTTAAAAAGTTCTTCATGTTCAGTTGGACTCATTCTGTAATGGGGAAGATTAGACAAAGTGGCTCCATGTATTAAATCAATGTGATGTTGAATATCTCTCATCAGTGGCAAACCTATTGGCAACTCTTCATGCGTTATATCAGAAAACTCATCAATTAAATGTTGAATTTCTTTAGCAATTTGAGAAGTTGAATCAGTTTCTTTTCCTATCACCAAGTAAGCTACCTCCGATTGTTTCAACTCATTTGTGTTAAGAAGCAGTTCATGAGTGTTTGGTTTTGCAACTTTGGTATTTTTGGCAGGCGGGTCAGGCACATTTTTTTGAGGATAAATCTCTTTATTCTTCTCTCTTTTTTTTTTAATTTTAAATCAGTCAACATCCCCCTTAACAGGTGATGTAGACAAAAGGGGGGTCAACACAAGTCCAAAATAAATCAAATTTTGGCTTCCCTTGAGTCTAGTAGTTTAACATATTTGAGCTGAACTTTTAGCTCATTTATGAGCTGGCTTTAGTTCAATTATTGAACTAAGGGTTAGCTCATTATGAGCTAACATTTTAGTTCATTTATTATCTTTTAATTAATGTCTTTTATGCTTTTTATGTTTGTATTTATGTTTGTCTCTGGGAATTCCAAACCGGCCTTTGGAATTCTAAGATTTTCTTTTCCCCATGAGGTGGCCCTTTGGCTTCCTCCTTGGCTTTTCGTATTTTGCGTTTTGCCTCTTGGAACTCCGGCCGGCCGCTGGTTTTCCCGTGCCTGGGCTCTTTTCCCGTGGCCGTGCCCCTTGGTTCCCGCGCGGCCTCCTTGGCTCCCGCAGCTGCCCTTCGGTTCCTGGTTTGGGGCTGATTTCCGTGAGCAAGGGGGGAGGATTTATATGTTTTAATGCTTAGATTAATGTGTAATGTGTCTTTTCATATTCCCTTTCATACCTATAAATATGGGGGATTTGTAATGTTTGAAAGTAAGTCATGATATGTGATTTTTGGAGAAAATCTAACATGCGGGTTTGTTTGGAAATCCTGCGGGCTCTTTCCACCCTTCTTTCTCATCCCCTCCGGAAATCCTGCGGGCTCTTTCCAACCTTTCTTCTCGGGCTTCTAACCTCTTTCGTCTCTCCGCAAGTGCCACTCCACCTGTATCTTTCTTCCAAGTGCAGCAACTTTAGGGTGTCGTCATTTTGTTTGCAAGAGTCGTTTGTATTGTTGTAAATTTTCTTTTGTTTAGTTTAAATTGAAATGTAAGAGTTTGTTCTTCCTTTTCTCGTCTTCTAGTCTTCGTTGTGTCGTCTTGTGTTTTTCTCTTTGTGATCAAAAAATATAGGGTCCCCTATATTTTTTGATTGCATCATTAGGTACTATATTTTTTTATTGCATCATTTGGTATCATAGCAAGTTAGGAAATCTTAGGATTGTGGTTTGTCAAGTTAGTTCGTCAAAGAGTTTTATTGTAAGTTTTGTCAAGTCAAGTTGTGAGTCTTGTCTTAAGTTTTTTAGGTGAGTCTTTTGAGTCTTTTTTGAGTCTGTCAAAAAAATGAAAAATATCAAAAATATGGCTACATTCCAGGAATAAAGCGATCAACATAATCCTGATGTCCCGCAACCATTGGACAAATGGATACCTACAGAAGGAGATTCTACTGACCCACTTCAAGATCGTTTGTACAAGCTTCAGTATCACATGTTCCTATGTGATCAAAAATTCGAGAAGTACAAAAGATATCTACAACAGCAATTCGAGAAGAAGCAAGAAGAAATTCTGAAAAGATTTGGCGAGAAACTCAAAGAACTGGATGAACAGTATACACCGCTCAAGGGAATCATCAACCAATTCATCAGGAGCTGAATTCGCAAGAAGGGGAGTCTGATGTAGACAAAAGGGGGGTCAACACAAGTCCAAAATAAATCAAATTTTGGCTTCCCTTGAGTCTAGTAGTTTAACATATTTGAGCTGAACTTTTAGCTCATTTATGAGCTGGCTTTAGTTCAATTATTGAACTAAGGGTTAGCTCATTATGAGCTAACATTTTAGTTCAATTATTATCTTTTAATTCAAGTATTTTATGCTTTTATGTTTGTATTTATGTTTGTCTCTGGGAATTCCAAACCGACCTTTGGAATTCCAAGATTTTCTTTTCCCCATGAGGTGGCCCTTTGGCTTCCTCCTTGGCTTTTCGTATTTTGCGTTTTGCCTCTTGGAACTCGGCCGGCCGCTGGTTTTCCCATGCCTGGGCTCTTTTCCCGTGGCCGTGCCCCTTGGTTCCCGCGCGGCCTCCTTGGCTCCCGCGGCTGCTCTTCGGTTCCTGGTTTGGGGTTGATTTCCGTGAGCAAGGGGAGGGAGGATTTATATGTTTTAATGCTTAGATTAATGTGTAATGTGTCTTTTCATATTCCCTTTCATACCTATAAATATGGGGGATTTGTAATGTTTGAAAGTAAGTAATGATATGTGATTTTTGGAGAAAATCTAACCTGCGGGTTTGTTTGGAAATCCTGCGGGCTCTTTCCACTCTTCTTTCTCATCCCCTCCGGAAATCCTGCGGGCTCTTTCCAACCTTTCTTCTAGGGCTTCTAACCTCTTTCGTCTCTCCGCAAGTGCCACTCCACCTGTATCTTTCTTCCAAGTGCAGCAACTTTAGGGTGTCGTCATTTTGTTCGCAAGAGTCATTTGTATTGTTGTAAGTTTTCTTTTGTTTAGTTTAAATTGAAATGTAAGAGTTTGTTCTTCCTTTTCTTGTCTTCTAGTCTTCGTTGTGTCGTCTTGTGTTTTTCTCTTTGTGATCAAAAAATATAGGATCCCCTATATTTTTTTATTGCATCAACAGGTTTGCTGTCACAGGTTCAAATAAAGCAAAACTAAAGTTTAAAGATTGCATTAATAAATATACAAATTAGGTTGGTAGCTATAATTAAAGATTGGAGGTATTAAAAATTTGATACGTAGACATTATACCAAAAAATTCAATGGAGATGAAAAATTATTACCGCAAAGCTTAAGCAGTGTGAATGTTGTGGCTGCTATAAGAAACACCATCGATATTGCAACCCAGAAATGCTGGAGATATAGAAAGTGATGATTCAGTTCAAACTGATTACAAGAGTGAAAAAGAGAATTGAGCAACTTACAGAAATAATAAACTGCATTAGAGCAACAGTTATTGCAGTTTATAATGCACATACAAAAGTATGAATTGAGCAATGGTATGAATCTTTAAGAAAGGTTGCGGGTTCAGTGAGGTAGATGTCCTTCACAATTCAGAATATGTGAATAAATTTTCTTAAAGAAAAAATTAAATAAAATAAAGACCATGCAGTAGGCATTAAGTTGAGAAGAAAAAACACAGCATTCACTTGTTGATAATAGACCCAGCAACTGATTATTTATTCAAATAGAAAATTAAGATCCATAATGAGTTGAATCCTTGCAAGTTTACTTTGACTAGAAAACTGGTTTAATATCAAGTTGAGTTCACTGGACTCAAATCAATTGATTCTAAGATGGATAGAAATAGGCAACAAGTTGACTCAAAATTAACTCATAAAAGTCGAAAGGTACGAGCTCTTGTAAACATTACAAAAAACTTACCAATGCACTGACAAGTAGTTTATTTTTATCTTATATATCATCTCAGTATTAGATAAAAATATAATAAATTTGCATTGGCTTGAATTAGATTGCAAGTGAGTTGCCTTAAACTCGAAACTAACTTCAAATAGGTTTAGATTTAGGTACGCTAGATGAAACACAACCAAACAGGTTGAAGGGGCTATTTGGTTGGATGAAAAAAGGAATGCAAAGTAAAGGAAAAAAAATGTAGTGTAAATCATTCTCGTTCATTTTTTGAGGTAAACCAAACTAGCCCAGTTTTGAGAGAGAACAGTTTACACCACAAGCAAACTCGCTTGCCACCACCAACCGGCGTCTGCCTCCACCACCGGCCACCTCCAACTGCCGCCAGCCACCACCACCGGTCGCCATCCACTACCGCTGCCACCGCCGGCCACCGCTGGCCACCACCACCACCCACCACCGCCATCAGCCAATTTCTACCATCTTTAAACTTTAAATTACATTCATTTTACTTCAAACTACACAAAAAAAAAATCATTCTCCTGAATTTACTTTACACTCATCCAAACAACTCCAAAGTATTCCTTTTACACTGCATTCATTTTTTAGCCAACCAAATAGCCTCTAAGTCATATTCAATTCAACTAAAAACCAAGTTTGTTTCAAACAATTTCCAATTTGGGTGTTTTATTAGAGAGATGCATGGATGTTTGAAACATTATTATCCTGCACATGATGTATTATATCGGAAAAATAATTTGATAAAGAAAGCACTTCTAACAAAGCTAGATGGCTTGTTATAGTACAACACAAAAGCTTTAAGTACGTTTAAATCTCTGCCAACAATCTGTTATGGCTCACTCAAATCAGAATCCTTGGAACATGCTAATGGAACAGGTATTAGGCATTTATTAGGACTAGGATGTTCATCTTCAATTACGATAAGGATTAAAATGATCCCTTGACTCTTTATGAAAGACCAAAATGATCATCAACTATTCAAAAATCTCATTTGAGCCCCTAGACTTTTTAAACAAGGAACTAAATGATTCCAATGGAATAACTTATTTGGCCTCTATTTAAAGAGTCACAAGACCAAATTGGTACTTTTATATAATCAAAAATTATTTTGATCCTTCAGAAAAAATTAGGGGACCAATTTGATCCTTTTCTCATCTTCAATTATACTAATAAAAATACGAAAGTAAGCCAAACAAAGTCTAGTAGACAAATAAAAAATTATCATAATTTTTTATATTAGATATTATATGATAATTTAAAAAAAAAACAATCACTCTCATATTTAATAGAAAATCATTTATAATTTATTGACAAATTATGTACAAGATATTATGAAGAATTAAAATATTTAATACAACAACAACATCAAGCCTTTATCACACTATATGGGGTCAGCCACATGAATCTTTTTTCTCCATTGTGCGGCGTCTTATTAAAAGTAAAATTCTCATTTAAATATAATAAAGAAAGGTCATTTCTAATTTTTTCTAACCAAAGTCTGTTTAGGTCTACCTCTACCTTTCTTAACATAAGTTAAATCTAATACATCTACTTTCCTAACTGGGTCATCAGAAGGCCCCCGTTTTATGTAACCAAATCATCTAAAGCGACTCTCTCTAATCTTATTTTCCACTGGTGCTACTCCAACTTTTTCACGTACATGCTCATTTCGTATCATGTCTCTAAGAGTACAGCCACTCATCCATCTGAGCATCCTCATCTCTGCAAAACTTAACTTAATATTATGCTTCTTTTTTAATGGCCAACATTATGCACCATAAAGCATTGCAGGTCTAACCACCATCTTAAGAATTTTCCCTTTAGTTTGAGGTAGACTTTTCTATCACACAACAAGCCTGATGCATTCCTCCACTTCAACCATCCAATTTGAATTCTAGTAATAATATCCCCATCTATTTCACCATCACTCTAAACAATAGACCCAAGATATCTAAAATGTGTACTCTTATTAATGACTTGATCACCCAAAGTCACAATCCCCCCCCCACAAGAACTATTATTATTAAAATTACACTCCATATATTCAATTCTAGATCTAAACAAACAAAATCCTTTAGACTTAAAATTGACCTCCATAATTCAAGTTTACCTTCAACTCTGTCTCTAGTATCAACAAGAAGTATTTAATGAATGATTAAATTTTCCATTATTTGAAATTAGATCAATAATTAAAAATGAACTTATTTTAACGTCAAAAATAATTAAAACTAGTATAAAAATAAATTTACACCTTTTAATAATCAGTAAGAAGAAAGATTTTTTTTTTTCAGTTTTTGACACCAAATGAAAATGGAAAGGAGATTTCACGAACCTAAACAAGCACTAAATGAAAATTAAGACCATCTAATTACATAGCAATTGAAAAGCTCGGAGATCATTTATTGCATTTCAATCCCTGGCAACAGCTTGAAAATCTGATTTGCAGCTGAAATCCAGCAGATGGAAAGTCTACCAGAATTCTGCAGATCGAGAAACCTTCCTGCACTCCGAAATTGATCTGCAGTTGAAATCAATCAAACTGAAAGCCTTCCTACACTCCCAAATCCCATCATACCTGCAAAGTCACCTCATCGGTAAAGACCATAACTCCACTAAGAAGACGATCTTCTCACCTAATCGGCTTCAAGAAAAAGGGAATTCGCCTAAGGAAAATTGAAACTTCTGATTTCTTATTCAATGAATTGAGTAAACTACAAGAAGGGCTTTAAATAGACCAAAACCAAAAAAAACCAAAATTAAAAAAATATCCTATCTCCTAAAGCCATTAACCACCCGTAACAAAATGAAATTACAAAAACAACTCTTATAATTGTGACATGCTCCCTAGGTTGAAAAAGACTTCATTCTCAAAGTTTGACACAATTTATTTTTCATAGTCGGATGAAAGATCAGCTATAATGAAATATGTGCAAATATTAGAATCTGCTGATAAGTCAATCTTATAGGCATTCTCCCAATGTGTTTAATAATCTGGCCTGGATCCTCAGCTTTCAGCTTAAGCTTTGCAAAAGAACTCAGAAATCATTCCTTTCATAAATGGATCCCAACAAAAACACAGACACAAACATAAACATGTTCTCAAAGTGATGGTCAATTACAGACCCAAGTAAAACGAGCTAATGAAACCAAAGTGATGGCCAATTCATTGAATGTAAACTACTTACCGTTTCCATTGAAGTCAACGCATTAAAAATTCTAAGAAAAGAACAAAAAAGGCAGCAGATATAGCATTAACAAACTTACAGGAAGTGTCTCCCATATAGCTTCATCACTCATGCTTTCTTCATCTCCGGGCATTAGAGCTCTACACATTCTGACATAAAAGGAAAAAACGATCAAAAAGAGTTCACTGAAGACTTTTCCCAAATTAAACCACAAATGTCATAGAGCAAATCTAAGGACAGGGTGCCAACAAAATAAACTCCACATATAAAATTATAAATGCTATGTCCATATTACAATTCAGCCAGTGCTCTGAAAAAATATCAGCATCTTCATTAATTTTATCCCAACTACTTAGGGTAAGCTATATGTCTATTCATCTTGTTGTGCTCAACCTATTTTGGCAAATCTTATTTCTTCAACATTGAACACATTTGATTAATTGTAAAATGGTTGAATAGCTTTGTTCTTTAATTTATAAGTGTAAGGGAATAATGCTCATCGGCAAACCTACATGCGCAAGCACTCTAGACAAACAAAAGGATTTCTCATCACTGTATTTCTAAAAAGAACATGTACTCAACAAGTATGATCCTTTCTTAATTAGATTAACAAATAAACTCTCTAACCCTTTCATAAGTTATAGAAAGAATTCAGGGCCAAAACAAAAGAGTATATTCTCTTTTTTTTTTTCTTTTTTTTTTTTGTGGACATTTAGACCAATTAAGGCAAATTCACACACACATCACATACGTGAGACTCAAATCCAAGGACTCTTGGTTAGTAACCAAAGACTCTTTGATGAGGACATCGTCAGCGATTTCGACACGTGTACCATCGGAGACGCCGGAGATCGACGGCCACGATCAGGAGTTTTATTTTGGGTCATTTTATGTAGTAGTTTATTTTATTTTTCAGTTTTACGGTTTTACCCTTAAGGGTGGTCTTTTGATATTGTAGCCCCGAGGACATTTATGTCTTTTTAGTTTTGTTTCATTTTGGCCTATTTATAGGAGGCCTCATACATTGTATGAGATGATGAATTATTGATAATGAAATTTTTATGTTCTTATTGATCTCTTAGTGAGTTCATGTTGATCTCTTAGTGAGTTCATGAGAAGAGAAGCCCTAGGAGGGTAATTTGCAATACCCGTCAATCTTTGGAAGAGTCCAAAGTTCGCGGTTCTTACGATCTCTTTGTGAGTTCGTTAGTTATCTCTATCTTTCTCACAGATTCTTGTTCATCTCCTCTCTCCCCTCTTCATCCACCCAAGTCTTCCCCTAGCTCCACCTCCCCAAGCCGACGACCATCCCCACCTGATCGCCGGCCTCCTTCCCACGGCCTTCCCCACCCGATCGGCGGCATCTCCTCCCTCCTTTGGACCGCCGGCCATACTCGTGATCCAAGTCATTATGACATTCAAATCGTCATAATGACTCCTTAACTTGTGTTTTGCAATAAAGGAAGAATCTTGCAATTTTGAATTCAAAATTTGAAATTCAAATTTGAGGCTCAAAACTTTCCATATTTGCAAAAGTCTAAAAAGGAAAGTTTTTGAATTTGATCCAATCCAAATTTCATGACATGTGGAATTATTAATTTTTTATCCTATGTGGCATCAACATGATGGAAGGTAAATAACCAATCCCTAATCTCCCTCCTCCCCTCTCTCCATGCCGCCGGCCTCACCATGAATGGAGCCCCATTCAAGCCACCAATTAATGCATTGATTACACATGAATTTGAAATCAATTTCAAATTAATCTTCCCCCTATTTCATTCAAAACCTGAAATTAATTTCAGGTTTAAAATAACTCCCTCCCCTCTCTCTAGCACCCGCCGGCCCCCCTCTTAATGGGCCCCACTTAATGCCCATTAATCCCCCTTATCTCTATTTGAAATTTGAAATCAACTTCAAATTAATTCCCTCCTAATCTACTCAAATTCTGAAGTTAATTTCAGATTTGAGTAACTCTCATTCCCTCTCCACTACCTCTCTCCACAAACTAATTAACTCACATTAATTCCCTCCCTTAAGCCTTCCAAACAATCCGTAATTCCCTCTCAACCCCAACAGCCGGCCCTCACAGTTTCCCCCTTGGTTTAATCTATTCTTTGGTATTACGGATTGCTGTCCCAGAATTTCAGAGAGGACAACCTGCTGTCCTGCACCACTTGAAGGCCACGGCCAGCTGTCCAGCAGCCCCAGTCTCCCCATAACTGCTGCCCGGAGTTCTGTCCACCTCAAAGGATTGCTATCCTGCAATTTTCAGCAAGGTAGTTTGATGTCCAGGTTGCTGGAACGGTCCCATTTGCTGTCCAGAATTTCTGGATATTGACAGATTGCTGTCCCAAGAATTCTAGTAAGAAGAATTGTTGTTAAACCCTCCGGGAATACACTCTTGCACTGTTCATCAACTCCTCCAGCTCCGAATAGCTTTCCCGTGGACAGTATTGTAAGCTCCCTCTTCCTCGTGGTGATCACATTCGTGTTGCTAATATCTTTCTTTTGTTAACCGCGAGAGAGCTTGAGTGAGGGAAACTCAATGTGACTTTTCTAAATATTAACCCGTGGATTATTGTTAAAGTGCATTCGTCATTACTCGCATGTTTGTTATTGTTTTAAATTGTTGTGTCTAACGAGTTTGTAACAATACCTAAGCAATTCTGCAACTGAGATTTCATTAAATCATTAATTGTGACTCGTTAATATTTATATCGACTTGCTTACTCAATTGTCTTATTATGTCTCCGAGCAATTTCGATATTGTTTCACATCACTCTTGGTTAGTAATTAAAGCTCGCAACCAACAAGCCAAGGTGAAATGTGTAAAAGAGAATAACATAGGCTATTGCCTCAGCTATTGTATTATTTGTTAACATTCAGGAGTAACTAAAGGGATGCAATTTGTTAGATGCAAATATCATATGAGCAACATAAACTTATTTTGGACACATCTTCACGTATTAATGGATAAGTCATAGGTCTTGCAATCCAAAAGCTGCCACTAGAATAAACTTGAGACAGGTCATTTTGGCATCTAGACACGGTCATTTTTTTGCCATGATAGATTTTAAGGACTTCTACAATAAAAAAACTGAAATACAGATCATTAAAAGCACATAAAAGGGGGATTTTATGGTATCTGACTTGTTGAAAACTGGAAAGTTACTCAAAAGCTGCATCCATACAAAATATACTTTGTAGTACCCAAAAAAACACAAATTTGAATGAAGCATTGGGCAAAATATACTATTTCCAATGATTTCAACAGGAATAAATGGAGGAGCATTAATAAAGGCAGCTTCAAAGAATTTGCACAAAGTCAATTGATAAAAATGATGATGTGATTGTACACTAGAAAAACTGAAATAATGGTTCCAAGATTCGGAAGCAAGATGCCTGCAAAGTTCTGGATAATCCACAAGTAAGAGAACAGTTAGATGAAAATAATTAAACCCATATAATGCATACTAGTTCCAAAAACCAAGTAAATCACTAACTCAAGAAAATGCATCTTGTGATATGTATGAACGAGTTCTGTTATTTTTCTTCTTGACGTGATAAATGATAAGGTTAAGATGTACCACAAATTATAAGAAATACTTTAAAAAAAAAAAACTCATTTTCCTTCCAGTAAGATACTCAGATTTTCAGAGGCATCTTGATTTGAATAGGTTGCTGTGAAACACCCAGAACATACTTTATGAACGTTTACAAGAAAATTGATTCATTAAGGCCATAAACACACAAATTAGAGGAAATTTACGATGTATCAACTGTTGGAAAAAATCAAGAGAAAACTGTTCAAGCAGCAGCCAAAAGAAAAATAATTTATGATCCAACTTAATATAATCAAAGAAGCACTCAAGAAAATGTTTCAAATGTTTTCCAAACAAAACAAATCGAGGAGAAATTTTCATAAAGCCAACCCCAAATATTTCATAAAAATATACTAGCGAGGATGATGAAGATTGCACATAAGAATATAAAAAGAATCTCAAAGATTCAAAGCAGGTGGAATTGTGGAAATAACCAATCTTTTAAATATACCAACTTAAAATCAGTATAGCATTCTTCTGACAACCAAGTAAACCAGGCCTTTTAAAAAAATGTAGCAAGTAGTTTGCATAAATTTTTTTCCTTCTTGATCAGATGAAAATGTACCTGAAGTTGTCGAGAAGAATGATTACTTCAAAAGCCAAAAGTGGAAGAAAAACAATCTTTAAGCTCATGGCTGCGGGTTCAGGCCCTGCAAATTAAACACTTCTAACAAGTGAGGCAATGAACAATTATCTAGAAGTTCAATTAGTTAATTGATCAATATAGTCATGCATTATCATACGAAAAATTTTATACCAACCATCTATGTCTAATTTTGCTACAGAAGTAATTAAAACGTGAAAAACATTGAGTTATATTTTGTTTCATGAATTGGTAATGTTTACCTCTAAGGCTAAGGAATGTACAAAGAAGCAGCTCAAATGCCACAAGTAATGGTATCGCAACAATAGTATGGCACGGTGCCCACTGAGGTCAAAATAATTTCATAGATATAAAACTGATTGGAATTGATGGGATGAGTCTCAAAAGAAAACAAGTTAATAAAAACATACTTGACGATCATGAGGTAATGCGGGAGCAGGTAAGGAGAACCTTCCTCGTGCAACAACAGCATGAAAGATCCAAAGAGGGGAAAATATCATCCTATAAATGTAAATACTTACATTAGCAAAAAAAAATCAGCACTGTTATGCATTTATTGATTGCTAAAATGTCATCATTTACTTCAAAAAGATGAAGAACTACAAGACAATCTATCTCTAAGGATTATCAACAGTCAATACAGTTGGAAGTTTCCTTTAATTTTCTTCTTTTTTTTTTCAGCTCCACCTGACATGTACAAAAACAACCCCTCTCAGATGGTACAATGCATAAATCATTTGACCGCGTGCTTTATTTAAGGAAAATACCTAGCAAACCCGATGATATCGGAATTGAATTGCAACAACCGTAAGAAAATAGAAAAAATAAATAAATAAATACAACAAATAGTGATTCCCAAAGCTGATGTTGCAGAATCCTTGAGGTTGAATCGGGAAGCATGAAGAAAAACAAGTGAATCATCAAGAATTCATGCAGGGAAAACATCCCGAACAATGACTCAAAATGCCATTCAAAACCTTTCATTAAATATAGAATCTAAGGCTAAAAAAATATTTTTCTTATTACAATCCAAACTATGTTTAAAAATTAAATAAATACATGAATATTTGGCCAAAATTAATATTGGGCCAGCAAAGACTGGAAAGGTCTAATTCAACTCCTTTATCTCCTAGTCTAGAGGAACTCACACCGAGATATTGTATAGACCTATAAGAATTGAACCTTTACAAATCAACTAGCTAATTGAACAGCATTATGTGCCCTAAGGGCTAGAAGAACTCTCCTCAAGATAGCAAAAGTAGAAGTTTTTGAATAAAAAGTATAAGTTTTTGAAAAGTCCTCCATTATGTCAGAACAGTCATAACATTTCCAAATGCTAAAAGTTTAAGTGCTGGCAGAAGAAATAACAGCACATCCTAACCTACATAAACTCAACTACCCATATACAACAACAACAACAACAACATCAAGCCGTTGTCCCACTACGTGATGTCGGCTACATGAATCCTTTTTCTCCATTGTGTCCTATTAAAGGTCAAATTCTCGTTTAAATCTAATAAAGAAAGGTCAAATTCTCAACTACCCATATAAACAAAATAAAAACTGAAGTGTGGCTTGATGGTTGCTTGAATCGATAGCTTAGTAGCAACATTAAAAAGGATGATCGATGCTAATGTTAAAAGGCAAAATGCATGCAAACACATTAGATAATTGCTGACTACTTATTATAACACGCCTTCATGGCTCGAATGGGATAAGAACAAATAGGAGAACTGCATATCATGTGCAAAAGATAAGTAAAACAATTTGAGGATCAACTGTATCTTGCTATTTTTCGTTTCTATTTCATCAAATAATACAAAGTATCTATTGTTTTCGTGGTTTCAAGTTGATTTTTGTGGAGAATTCTCGCTGTTTTCCAAATATTGATAGGAAATACTTGAGAGCTACAAGTGTGTCATATCACTTAATTGCAACAAGAAGTTAACAAAAGAAGCAAAAAAATAAAGAAACTGGATTGAGCAAGAGTCTAATCAATTTCCCACAAATCCTTTAAAGCTTCTTCATGGTCAGAGATCACAAACTAAGTCAAGAAAAAGGAGTGGAATCAAGAGCAACAGACTTTGACGATGAAGTCGATGAGGGAGAGAGAGAGAGAGAGAGAGAGAACAAAGAAGAAGGAAAGCAAGGAGAACCTAGCTCTAATACCAAATTGATGCAGAGCATGCAACACAGCCGCAAAGAATGTAAAAAATAGAGAGAAGATAGTAAAAAAAAATAAAGTAGCGATTTCTCGAGTTATTGTTGTTGAATCCTTATGTGCAAAGAACTAGACGTGAATCCTAAAGAATCTATAAGAAAAATGCATCCCATGCAAGAACTTAAAATTTCAATCATAATAATTAATTGAAATCCCAATAAATGAAGCCCTCTTTTAAGTATTTACTAAAAAACTAAAGCCTAAAAGAAACTATGAACAACAAAAACTCATTTCCCCTTAGAACGATAGGAGAGAGTTCTGTAATAAAAAATTTGGAAAAAGGTTTTGCTGAGCTACTCTGCAAAGATGAAAATTGTTAAAACACAAAAAAATTATGAACAAAGAATTTATAGTAATTTCTTTGAATGACTTCCGTCTACTATATCATGAAATGAGAAAGCCATTCGTTATATATAGAAAATTTCATAAGATATTGTATGCTACATAATTTATTCTTTACGAAGAATGTGAGAGGATCAGTAATGCGCATGTAGGAATGTTGAATGATTTAAGAGTTCCAAATATTGTCAAAATTGATCCTCTTACATGAGATCTAGCTCTGATCTTTATACTCAAGTTGTCCCTAGAAGGCAAGCAAATGGTTCATTAAAATGTTATCACTGGGAGGTGTTTATTATTACATGATATTAGGGCATGATGGAAACTTCCTAAAATTGGGACTTTATAATCACTGCTTAACATTGGGGATCGGATGATCGCAACTTAATGTAATAAATGTATTTGGTCTTTAAATTCTTGTGCAAAAGCTTTCTTTTTATGCATTATCTTTTAAAATTTCAATATCCTGAATACCACAAAAGTAATGTTTTGAGTCTTCCCGAGATGAGTTACAACATAGAATTGTTGCGCGAGAGGTATTTGAGACTCTAAACCCTTGAGAGGATTGATGGACTACTAAAAGTATTAATGTTGCTGTATTCTCAAGAATAATTATTGACAAGTCATATCAGTAATTGCTTCAATATGTGGGTAGTCCACATATATGATGAAAATCTTTGATAATTGGGTGGATTTTGAGGATCATAAATTACAAACAATCTTTATTCTTATTAAAATCCAAACTAATTTAAAAATTAAAATAAATGCATAAAAATTCAACCGAAATTGATAATAGGCACAAAAAGACGTGAAAAAAAAAAAAAAAAAAACCCCTTCAACTCCTTCATATCTTGGTTCAAGTATTTATATTTGGTTTATAAGAAATTATTTTTTTCTGAACCAATTGGTTGATTTTGCTGCAACATATGATACATGATAAAATAGCATAATGGAGTACTATACTAAACCACCATCACTAAAATTTACAGGCATACTAACTCACTCGCATCTTCAGTAATTCTGCTGCCTTCTGATAATGTATCAAACATTTTTTTCAACGGTATATGCATCATATGACGACTAGCAAGACAAAAACAAGCTTTTCAAATGCAGCAAACTTCATAACAGCCTATAAGCTACCTGAAAAGGATTTTGGCCTTGTTGAAGATCAAGGAGGTACCCAACAAATTATTGTGTAAAAACTAAAAAGAGTCAGTTCACAAACGTGCCATCTCAGGAAAATAGAAAGCAATGATCCTCGAAGCAAAATCTTGAAACAACCCAACAAGATAACAAATGCAATATTGCTGTTCAGCAACATGAGAATTCTTTGCCGAATCAGGCCTTTCTTAGAGTGAAACTAGGCCAAAATTTAGAATGCTGAGATTTAATGAGTCAAATGTCTTTCATAAACACAACACATAAAAACTAAAGAAGTAGTCATAGAATTAAACACTCATGTAACAAAAGAAAGGGATTTCAACAAGCTCAACTAAGGTTGATAAACGGAAAAATCGAGATTATCAAAACTCGCGCCCCAAATAACGCTCGACCAAATCACCCCTCGCAACAGACATCCACAAATACCGACAGGAAAATCCCAATCATCCCCACACCACGCCCAATAACCCTAACCGATGGAAAATAAACCAATTCCGTACGCAAAATCGCGTCCCCTAAGAAAATTAAGAACCTAATCATAGCATTCCGACAAATTCAATTGAATTACAGCAATGAAATAGCAGAAGCGGAACGGACCACCATGAGTAACCGATACGGTCATCTATCTTGAGAGCGAGGAAGAGCGTAAAGCAGAACAGCATCCCATGCGCCAGCACCGCCTGCGCCGATTTCCCCACTCTCGGCCACGTCATCGCCCTCCTCCTCTCCATCCTCCCTCTCAACGCCACCGTCTTCTCCCAGCGCTCTCTCTCTCTCTCTCTCTGTGCGCGAGCTCTTCCTAGCTCCCTCTCTCTCTCTGTCTAGCTCTCGATTCTTCTTTCCTTCTCTCTTCTGGTGGGGAATAACTGCCGGTGGTCGGGAAGTCCAACACCGCCCCCTTTTTCTGGAGAAACCAATGGCCAGGGAGGTTTTTTTAACGCTCGACTTGCCTTTCACGCCAACTCGTTTTCGTCAGGCCAAAACTAGAGTACAATAGTAATCCTGCTAAAGCCACCACGGTCCGCTGTCCTTGCGGAGCGCGTTAACCTCTGCTCTCCTGCTACTCGAGGTGTCCACTGTGCAGTACGAAGCATCGTTTTATGTTCATCTTTGTGCTCCGCAAGAACACTTTAACTCGATATTGAAGATAATATATTATCATTAATTATGTTACCATATTAACATATATTATATTCTTTATTATATTTCAATTTGAGTTTGGAAAAAAAATTTATGTAGTTAAAAGATTTGAGCTTTATTTGAGACAGATTTTTTATTATTTTTCTTTAAAAAATGATTTAAAAAATTATCTCAAATAAAATCTTAATATTATTATTGTTGGTACTCACTAGTGCTCGACGAATTATGGTGAAGTAAGCTAATGACTTCTCATAGACCAGCTCTTTAGATTGAAATTAATATGTACTTTTCAACTATATGCTAATTAAGTTTATCAATAGGAATCAAATGGTGAGCATGAGACATTGAATCATTCGTTTAAGGGTTGTTTGGTCGGAATACTTTAGGGTATAAAGTATTTCAAATACGAAGATTTTAATAATTTTGGTGTTTGTTTGGATGAAAAAAGAATTTAAAGTAAAGTAAATGTAATGTAAATCATTGCAGTTCATCTTTTAGCCAAACCAGACTCACCAATTTTTGAGTGAGAACGCTTTACACTACAAGCAAGCTCACTTGCTCGCAGCTGACAGCTACCGGCCACCATTGTCAAACGTTTCGACCCGCCTCAAGCCATAACTATCAACCATCGCACCCTCGACAGCCATCACCGCCACCCGCTAGTAACCACCCCTGCCACTGGCCATTTTTTTAAAAAATTTACACTACATTCGTTTTACTTCAAACCAAACAAAAAAATCATTAACGTAATTTTATTTTTACACTCATTCAAACAACTCCAAAATATTCATGTTGCACTGCATTCCTTTTTTAGTTTTTATGAGTCATTTAAAATTCATAAGTATTTTATAAGTAGAAGAGGTCAATAGATAGTTTTTTAGGCCTTATGGTACTATATTTCTACAAATTGACTCCTTTTTGAGGCATTAGAGCATGAATGAAGGAATGAGGTAAGATTAACAAATCTATATTATAATCACTTTCTCTCCCCACCCAATTTATTGAGTTGACTATGAACTAAAATATTTCATTTATCATGATCCCAATAATGAGCTTGTAATAATAGTGCTTTCATTAAGAATCCTGCCATGATTTCATCACCTTATCATAGATTTGTTACATTTGTTTCCAAGATCACATCCTCATCAATTCCACTTTATCAATACCCAAGTAGTCACCATTCTTAAATTCCCTTCCATCCGCCCTCCATAATAACAAGGTCTCCCGCATCTGCCCATATATTATCATCTCATTGTTTCACCTTTGATATAGGGGTGTCAATTTTGAATCACGAGTCGGGTTCGTGTCAAATCCAAAACTGATCTGGCACTATTCAGGTCAACCTGAAACACACCCATTTTTACAAACGGGTCGGTTTTTTTTACCTGAACCCAACTCAATTCGGGTTCGAGTCAACCCGACATGCATCGAATGACCCAGGCTGACCAAAATTTGCTAGTTTTCAGGTCAAAAATGGGCCAATTTCCGATTTTTCGGTCAAAATGGGTCAATCTCGGATTTTCAGGTCAAAACAGAGCTTTGGGTCAATTTCAGGTTTCTCGGATAAACCCAAACTCAACCCATTTTTTCTAAAACGGGTCGATTTGTTTAACCTCAAGCCGACCAGTTTCAGATCCTGGTTGACCTAAACCCGGAGTTTTTGAGTCTGGTTCTTTTCAAATTTTTAAGTCGTGTCAAATATTGACACCCATACTTAGGTCTTGATAAATAGCTTTCATTATAATTGAAGGCATTAAGGCGTGAACCAAGAAATGAATTAAGCTTTTCAATTTATGCCTACCTTTTTTTTTCTCTCCGCCTAATTTATGCATTTGTTAACGAACTAGAATACCAACAATGAGTTCACAAACATACACTTGCAGCCTAACATCCGATAATAGACTCTTGACATTTAAGGCCAATTATGCATAAGGGACATATCAATTGATTTTGCTAGGATAGTTTGGTAACAAAAAATTTATATAAAAACTATGTGACAGTTATACAAAAGATACAAAATAAGACACTCAAACTTATTATTTTCCATGAGATAAAAAATTGTATGTCTTACCATTGTAATCAAATGGCATATTAAAAAACATTATTTTAAGAGAATATATTATACTTTATTATAATTTTTTTATGAAAAGAATTAGAAGCTTTTTATTTTAATTTATTTTTCTAATTGCTACATGCATTCTATTGACTTTGCTTCTTACGAGCATGAGTATTAGGAATTTTATTTTAAATAAGTATAATTAAATATTATTGTTGCGTCCAGGAGTATTCGGGGCGGTAGAGAAATATAAAGTTTAACATCTTAGCGTTGTACGAAAATCCGGCACGCAATCAGATAAAAAGAGAGGGTGCGTCATCCATTAGAGACACCAAGATTTTTTACGTGAAGAACTCCTGAAAAATGGGAAAAAACCACGGACCCTGGCTCAGTATGAATGAATCTACTAGTATTGTAGTAGACTACAAATGAGGTCCTTCCTCAGGGGAAGGCCATAATCTTATGTGCATCTTATAGAGTACAATACATGGTGAGAATACAAAGCATCACTGTTGATGTGTTTGTTTGGTCTGAAGGACTGTAGTTGGTGTGCGATGTAAGTCGGAGGGATTGTAGTTGGCGGGTGACGGAGGTCCGAAGAACTATAGTCGGCGGGCGACGTAAGTCAGAAGAACCGTAGTCGACGGGCGATGGAGGTCGGAAGGACTGTAGTCGGCGGGCGGCGTAAGTTAGAAAGTCCATAGTCGGCGAGCGATAGAGGTCAGAAGGACTATAGTCGGCGGGCGACATAAGTCAGAAGGACCGTAGTCGGCGGGCGATGGAGGTCGTAAGGACTGTAGTCGGCAGGCGGCGTAAGTCAGAAGGACTGTAGTCGGCGGGCGACAGAGGTCAGAAGGACTGTAGTTGGTGGGCGACGTAAGTCAGAAGGACCGTAGTCGGCGGGCAACGGAGGTCGTAAGGACTGTAGTCGGCTAGCGATAGAGGTCAGAAGGACTATAGTCGGTGGGCGACGTAAGTCAGAAGGACCGTAGTCGGCGGGCGACGGAGGTCGTAAGAACCGTAGTCGGCGAGCGATAGAGGTCGTAAGGACTGTAGTCGACGGGTGATAGAGGTCAGAAGGACTATAGTCGGTGGGCGACGTAAGTCAGAAGGACCGTAGTCGGCGGGCGACGAAGGTCGTAAGGACTGTAGTCGGCGGGCGGCGTAAGTCAGAAGGACTGTAGTCAACGGGCGATGGAGGTCAGAAGGACTGTAGTTGGCAGGCGACGTAAGTCAGAAGGACCGTAGTCGGCGGGCAACGGAGGTCGTAAGGACTGTAGTCGGCGAGCGTCGTAAGTCAGAAGAACCGTAGTCGGCGGGCGATAGAGGTCGGAAGGACTGTAGTCGGCATGCGACATAAGTTAGAAAGACAGTAGTCAGCGGGTCATGGAGGTCGGAAGGACTGTAGTTGGTAGGCGACAGAGGTTGGAAGGACCATTGTCCGACGACGAAAGTCAGAAAGATGATGTCTAGTAGAAGTCCATCAATGGACGAAAATCCAACATCTGATAGAGGATCTGATGAAAGTCTGACAATATATAGAAGTCCAGTGTCTGGTGAAAATTTGGCGACGAGCGGAGGTTTGGCGTTGGGTAGAAGTCTGATGTAAGTTGGCGGGCGAGGAGAACTCCGACGTTAGATGGTACTTGGGCAAAACTCTGGCGTCACTTGGAGTTCGGGTGAAACTCCAGCGTCACTTGGACGTCGGGCGGAATTCCGACATCACTTGGAGGTCGGGCGGAATTTCGACATCACTTGGGCAGAATTCTGGCGCCACTTGAAGTTTGGGCAGAATTCCGGCGTCACTTAGAAGTCAGGCGGAAATTGGCTGGAATTCCGACGTCACTTGAACGTCGATTGAAATTCCGGCACCACTTGAACGTTGGGCAGAATTCCGACGGTGGTCAAGGAGGAGTTTCTTCTCTCCTATACTTCTCTTCTTCATCTTGCTTGGGCCCTCCTCCTTGCTTTTGCTCTCTTTTTCTCTCAAGAGAAATGAGAGGTCTATTTATAGATATTCTGGAGTGGCATGACTTGCAAATAGGTGAGAGATCAGGGGTAAATAGGGAGTGATCGGATGGACGGCCGATATTGAATCCTTTTATCGTGGACCGTTCGTCGGGCATTTGAAGGTCTTAATGATGTCAAAATTTGGCGATCTTGGGCTCGTTAGATTCGTCTCATCGAGCCGCTCGATTCGACTATAAGCATGTCATATTTGGAAGCCATTTGGTAATCCAAATTATGGATCAAACCTTCCTAATGTACTTCGGGCCTTTGATTCAGACCCATTTGGGCTCTGATTGAGTCGAATTTGGTGTCGCTGGGTTCGTATTTCCGAGACGATCTGTTCGACTATGAGTTTGCTGAAATCGGAGTTCAGATGATTCCAATTTAAATTTTTGGAAGTTTCTAGCGTGATCTTGCATCGAGATTCGTGCCCAATCAAGGTGATTTTTTTAAGATATATCAATTATATTATTAATCATACTGAAAAGAAAATTATGAGTAAGAAAAAAATTTTAAAGGTGTTAGCAAAATTATATTTTTATTACAGTATTTCATCAATTTTAGTAAGAAATGTGATTACTAACGATGTGATTAAAAATTATCATTAAAATGATTATTTAACTATATTTTTAAAATAATGTATGTAAAAATTTGAGAGGCTGTTCGGAATTTTTTTTCTTAATTTTATTTTTTTTACTTGAAATAAAATATATGTAATGTTTTAGAATATATTATTTATTTTATTTATGTGGCAGTGCTACA